TTCCAAAAGCATTATCTGGTCAGTCCCTTAGCATAGGTGGAGCTCCTAGGGAACACTAAATGGAAAAGCCAAGCTGCTCTGGGTTTTCCTTTGGTTGCCAAAAAAAGCAGCTGCTTTTAAATTGTATTTTCAGCTTACTAACATCCTTCCCCCTGCTCTAATTCTGTGCTGGGCCGGTTCCCTCTCAGAGCAGTACTGTTTGCCCTTCACTACCCCTTGGCCTTGGACTCATGTCCCAGCACACTCACCTCACCTTCCCACTGAGCTACTCATCCCCTGGGATAAACAGAGGACTCAGCAGCACATTCTAGGCTTTCTGCTTTCAGCCATCAGCCCACCCAACCCTCCTTGCCCTGCATCAGCTCAGGAAATCACCAACAAACAGCCTAATTTTTGTATCTGTCATTAATTGCCTCATTATAGAGGCAACTGCACTAGTGCTGGTTTGGCTTTTCAGGTGTAATTGTGACCTTCCAGTGCCTGAAGGAGCTACAAGAAAGATGGAGAGAGACTATTTACAAGGGTCTGGAGTTGGAATGGAATGAGATGATCCTTAAGGTCCTTCCAACCCAAACCATTCTGGGGCTCTCTGATTCCATGCAAGGACCATGTGGAGGAAGAGAGAGCAAGTCAGGGGCTAAAGAAGACAAATGATATAGATACTGAACTAGATACAGAACTGACAAAGCTATGTAAGTAGACAAAATTCATTGCAGGATGCAGAGAAGGAGGAATTCATATGGAGAAAGGGAAGACTTGTCCTTCCAACCCAAACCATTCTGGGGCTCTCTGATTCCATGCAAGGACCATGTGGAGGAAGAGAGAGCAAGTCAGGGGCTAAAGAAGACAAATGATATAGATACTGAACTAGATACAGAACTGACAAAGCTATGTAAGTAGACAAAATTCATTGCAGGATGCAGAGAAGGAGGAATTCATATGGAGAAAGGGAAGACTTTCCCCCATCATTGTTCTCATGGGGGCCAGGGCAGAGGTGAAGCTGACAGTGAGGAGATCAACAGACAAAGGACAACTCTGAGAGCCAACACAGCTACCCATGACAGAGATTGTCACAAAGCTGACTTAAAATGAAATAAAAATGCCTTGTCTAAGTTTAATACTGAATTGCCCTCCAAGAAGTGAGTTCTGGGCCCTTCCTCATACAGCTCAGCCAGTCTGGCACTGCCAGGCTTCATTTTTCAGGCCACCTCAAAGCAATGTGCTTCTGTTTCTTGTCTTTCAGCTAAATCACTGCAGCAGGTACTGAGATATGTGACTCATCGCTGCAAACTTTGGTGCCTGTGTGAACAAATCACTCAAAACCTGCATTGCTCTGCCAGCCCAGACAGAGACAAGGCAGAACCCCAGAACTCTTAAGTAATCTGGGAACAACGCAGCAGTGTTTAGTACCTGGTGCAGGATTACTTGGATACCAAATCCCCTCACATCAGGAGTTGGAAGAGAAAGGCACTTACAGACTCAAGTTACTCCCCTAAAACCAGGTTCCACAGCACCAGAAATCCCTTCTGAAGGCATTTCTGAGATTTCAAAAGATCTATGCCAGGGTTGAGATGCACAAAGATCTATGACTTTCCAATGAGGTGTGTGCAGATGGAAGAGCATCCATCACCCCTTCCTCATCAAACCCAGTCCAGGCAGCAATCCTGTTGGCATTGCCTATGGACACAGGAGTTTCCAGGATAAAGAAGTCATTCCCACAGTATCTGTCACAGGACAGACGCATAAAATCGGTGTCTCTGCAGATGGCAGCGATGATGTGTTGTACCTTTGCCATATTCTTACAGGATCTCATTTCACTTTGCTTGGAAGACCGTTTTCTTGGGGTTTTCCTTAGTCCTTGGGTAAACAACTATCTCTCCAAAGATGCCTATGTCTAAGCAGAAGGACACACACCTGCACAAGGATCTGACTCTTCACCCTATGTGGCAAACTTCTCCATGGGAGGCTGCATCCCACCAGCTTGGAGCACAGATTCAGAGCACAGCAGACTGGTGGGGCTGCTCACAATCTGAACCCTCCAGGGTGGCATTTCCCACCAGGAATAAGGCCCTAAACACACCTAGAAGGTGCAGGGCTGGATTAGCACCTGCTTCCCCAACACAGATGAGAGCAAATGCCCCCAGTGAGCAGCTATAGAAACCTCCCTGCAGGCAGTTTGGGAACAAATCCTCCTTGAAGGCCTTATGCCATGGGCACTTATCCCATTGCTGGCAGAGAGGGAGTTTGGGAAGGAAAAGGAGGCAAAATTTGGAGATTAAATTAGTGCTAGCAGCAGGTTTGGGTTGCCTTGCTGTGGATAACAAAGGGCTGAGGCATCTTTTCTACATGCCAGAACCACAGGAGAATTGAGGCTGGAAGAGCCCCACAGGCTGTCTGTGCCTCCTCCTGGCCCAGACAAGGCCAAGGAATATCTAGGACAGACACTAAGAAGCAAAAATAGATGTCAAGCCAATTCATCTTCCAAACGCAGAGTATTTTCACTCAAAAAAGAGCCCACCACTCTCTGTTCTGATGGGACACATCAGAGCTCAGAACCTGTCCAGACAAACCTGTCACTGTCAAGCCAAGCCACAAGGAGAAGGGAAGAAGAAGAAAGGAATTCTGCCCATAGGCAGTGAGAAAACGGTGAGGACCCTGCCAGGGTCCCATTTGCTGAGCTGGTTCCTGTGACTCGGCACTAGCCAAGCTGGGCCAGCCCATGCCCTAAGAAGGTGATCACAGCTTCCTCAGAGCAGCCAAACCACAACAAGTGGTAATTAGCCATTAAAAGCCTCTCCTCTCCCTCTGGCTGTGGTTGCTTTCCTCATCCTTGCCTTCCTGCAGCTGAGTTGATTGCTGAGTTTCCATAAAGTGCTAGAAAATGGATTTGCATCCAAAAAAATAAGCAGAAGGGAATGAAAAAAAGCACAGGGCACAGTTACTTAAACCTTCTGTCAGCTCTGCAGCCAGAAGGAACATTGAATTGTTCAGGGCTGGGACTCAGCTAATTCCTCTGAGTTTCTGCTCAGCCTCAGCAAGAAATCTGCACGGAGATTTTGGTAAGAGGAAAAAAGTGAACTAAAATCTGTAAGAGGGAAGAAAGTGGATTCAGATGGTCAGAAACTATTGTTCGACCCTCAGCCAGCAGCAGAAAACAGCTCTCAAGGGTATTAGCTCAGCTGTGCCTGGACCCTGGGCTGAAGGGAAAGAAGCTTTCAAAGGGTCTTTGTTAAAGCACATTCCTTTTTGAGGAGAGGAAGGAGCCCCCAGTGAGAGAGCAGAGCCTCTGTCTCTCAGGACTGCACCAGCCCCAGGGGAGATCCTTCTGACCTGCATTGCCCCAAAGGGTTCAGGCACTGAACATGAACAAAAAAGTGGTTTTCCAATTAACATCTCAAGTGCAGAGCATGTCCCAGTCTTACTCAGCAAAGGGTGAGGGGATGTGGGTACAAGAGTTCATGTTCTCCTGATTTGCACGGGGCAAGTGAAATAATTCTCCTCTCAAGGCAAATCTCTTCTCTGAATTATCACCTTCTCTAAGGGGCTGAGTTCATCAGGGCACTCCCTGGCAAAGGAGCAGCACAGACTCACCAGGCACTTGTGTGACAAGCTGCTTCACTGTGAGCAAACACATCAAACACGAGGCAAGGAGGTGGGAGATCATGTCAGAAGGGATGAAAGCAGAAGGGGAGAGAAGCCACATTGTATAAAGCTGAGGACAGAACTGGGTCTGCATTGCCTACATCCATGGGAGCTATGAACACAAAAATCAGCTCCTTTAGTGTCCTGAACTCAGGGAAACATTAAGTGTGGCAGAACAGAACCACCACCTCTGCACAGGTCAATGTCTCATCCGAAATGAAGCTCAGAACTGCTGAGCACAGCGCAGTGCTGTGCTCCAGGTGCTGTCAGGGAGTCAGGAACATGTTCATGATAGTCAGTAACTTCCCAGGGCATAAATATCTTTTACTGTCCCAAATTAATAACTAATTTGTTAGAAAGGCAACTTAAGAGTTCACCAGGAAGCACAGAATTGACTGAAATCATTAGAAACTAAATTGGCATAGGAGGAAAATCAGAAAATGTACAAGAGTAATGAAGAATAAGAATAAAAAACTAGTAAAAAATTGCTGCTTAATGAACTAAGTGTGGCCCCATGTGGGGAGCACAGGGCAGGAATCCCTCAGTGCCTGCTCCTTGCCTGTGCCTGGAGTGACCATAGCAAAGGGAAAGCAGAGGATGGAATAACCTATTTCTCTTCCCTTTCCATTCAAGCTTCTGTTTGCTTCTTTACTTTACAAAGTGTTTTATTGGTTTCAATCTGCAGGAGAATGAGGAACAGGCATTTCCCAGTTCACAAAGAACACTGTCTTCAAGCAGCCTACTCCCCTGCAAAGGCAGAGCCACAGCACCTGCTTTAGTGACCATGAAATGAAGTCTCTGAACTGGGCAATTACCTTCCTTACAAAAAATCATCACTCCCTGGGTCAGTGTCTTACTTGAATTAGGAAAACTCCAAATAAAAAGGGAATAAATGTGGTTTAAAGTCAAGGCTGACTTAATAAGAACTTAATGAAATGCGGGATCACACAACCACAACATGTGAACAGTCACAGATCAGTCTGAAGTAACAGAGAGCTCTGAACACTGTGGTCTAAGCAGGCTGTGGTTGGGGGAAATCTCCTTGGGCAATAATCCTGATCTCCAATGCAAGGCAGAGCCTGGCTGTGCTCAGGAACAGTGTGGCAGCAGGACTAGGGCAGTGACCATCCCCCTGGACTCTGGTCCAGGAGCTCGGCACTGGTGAGCTCACAGCTCAGTGCTGTGTTCAGCTTTGGGCCCCTCACTGCAAAAAGGCCACTGAGGCACTGGAGCGAGTCCAGCCAAGGGCAAGGAGGGCAGCAAAGGGCTAGAGCACATGAGGAAGGGCTGAGGCAGTTGGGCTTGGAAGGGTTGAGGTTAGTCCCTTCCAACCCAACCCATTCTATGACAAGGCAAACCTCAAGCTTGAGGATGTCATGCTGCAGCTTGCGCTGGAACTCCAGGAAATGGGAGATGGTCAACTTGCCCCTCAGGTCAGCCCCAAAGAAGTAAGTGGTGAGGGCAGAGTTGAAGCCAGTCTTGAGGGTGTTGCCTGTGGTGGACCTGTCCCTGTGGCGCATGCCCATGCTGGTCTGGGAGCGAATGATGCTCTGCACCTAGAAAGGAGAGGGTTAGGAGAAGGTTAGAATCAAAACCAACACTGGGACCTGTACTAGGCAAGTATCACTGTGAGGTACTCCAAGCTCAGCTCTGTCGCCCTCTTTTGCCCTAAAATCATTCTCAAACAACAGGACGCTTCCAAAATTTGGTTGAAGTTAGAGAATCCCAGAAGGTTTGGGCGGGAAGGACCTCAAGGATCATCTCATTCCAACAACTGCCACTAGCCCAGGTTGCTCCAAACCCCATCCAACCTGGCCTGGAACACTCCCAGGGATGGAGCAGCCACAGCTTCTCTAGGCAACCTGTGCCAGTGCCTCACCACGCTCCCAGGGAAGAATTCTTTCCCAATATCCCATCTCACCCTGCCCTGTGGCAGTTTGAATCCATTCCCTGTGTCCTGTCCCTCCAGGCCCTTGGAAATAGTCTCTCTCCATCTTTCTTGTAGCCTCATTCAACCTGGCCTTGAACACCTTCAGGGATGAGGAGTCCACCACCTCTCTGGGCAGCTCAGGCTTTGCTTTTTTCAGTCCTCTCCAAAGGAAGAAGAGTAAGAAATGCATCAGATGAGTTTTAAGAGCCAATTCACCCAGTTTGCAGCTAACCATTCCAGTGCTGATCCCATGCCTGGTCAGCAGAGAGCAGCTTGTTCCCAGCAAATGCACGGGAGGTGAGAAAAACCACAGCAAACACAGGGAAGAAAGAACCCTGCACGTGTTTTGGAACTTCTACTCCTCTACTGCACATCCTTGTGGGCTCACACAGACCCCAGTTAGCTCACAGCATGTTTCTTTTCTATTTTTCCACTGGGTTTGTGCACAAACCCAGGGGTTTTCTACCCAAGGCACTCCATCCTTGCTGTCTGCCATCCTGGGGCTGTCCCACTCAGAGCAAAGGACCCACTCAAAAAGTTCCCTAGCCCCTACAGGATACAAAAAAGGTTGAACTTGAAGGATGTGACAGCCTGAAAAATCCAAGAGTGTGTTATTTTGAGGGTTCTGTGCTGATTTAAGGGGGAGCCCAGCTGAATGCACACTCATCTCCTCTCTCCATCCTCATGTGTCCCACTGAACCCTCCCAGCACCTGCTCTTCGAGTGGTTATTGCTGGGAGATGAGAGGCCAGGGTTATTCTCTGGGCAGTAACTCTTCTCTTCCAACAAGAAGGATTCTGTGAATCTGTGTAAGGACAACAAGTGTAAAACAGGAGGGTGCAAAAAACCACCTGACAGCACAGCTCCATCAAACATCACTGCTTTGCCTTCAGCCTCTTCCTCCTGTTGACACGAGCTGGAAGGGAGGAGAAACAAGAGCTGGAAGAGCTGCAGCTGTCAGAAGGATAGCAGAACCTCCTTATTGCAGTGTTCAGTGTTTTCCTAGGGAGAGAGTGAGCCCTGGAGCAACTCAAACGGGATGCTCTGGAGGGGAAGGTCTCTGGGCTCACCTTGCCTGAAATGCTGCCCCCAAACCAGAGGCTCCTGCCTGTTCTGCCACTGCAAGGAAAAGCAAGTTAGGAAGAAAGTCAAGACAAATAAAGTACTGGGAAAAAAAAGGGGGTTGGGGCTTTTTGGTTTGTATTAAACATGCACATGTGAGGAAAGATGTAGAGTGACATAATTGTGGTCTTCCAGGGGCTGAAAGCTACAAGAGAGATGGAGAGACACTATTAACAAGGGCCTCGAGGGACAGGACAAGGAGGAATAGATTCAAACTGAGAGAGGAGGTTTAGATTGGATATTGTGAAGAAATCCTTCCCTGTGAGGGTGCTGAGGCACTGGCACAGGCTGCCCAGAGAAGCCGTGGCTGCTCCATCCCTGGAAGTGTTCCAGGCCAAGTTGGATGGGGTTTGGAGCAACCTGGGCTGGTGGAAGGTGCTGCCCATGGCAAGGGGTGGAATGAGATGGTCTTTAAGCTCCTTTCCAATCCAACCCAGTCAGTGATTCTATGATTTTTCACTGCAAACAGCAGCTCCTGAGCCTGCTCTGTGCCCCCCTTAGCTGTGAGCTCTGCATGCAGCACACTGTGGACACAAATACTTATCCACTGAAGCAAAGCAGTTCATGAGCAGCTTGGAAAACTGTCCCTGTTTCCCCAGAAGTGCTGATCACACTGCAGATTGCTCCCTGGAGCAGCTCTCTCTGGGCGTGATTTATGTGGATCCACAGGTCTTCCCTTTCTCATCCAGACAGTCAGAAAATCCATCTGTGGGCACTGCAGCCAAAATTCTCTGACCAGTCCCTGCTTTGGGTAATGCTGATGCCCAGAAAGGCAGGGAACCACTGCAAGGAGTTCTCCAGCCCAGCCAGTGCTGTCCTCACTCTCAGCTCATCACTCACACCAGGATGTGGTGCACAGAGATGCTCCACTGTCTTCTCTTCATATTTCAGCCTAAGTGTTTGTGATTTGCTTCATCTCTTGCAGTAGATGAGGGAATAAAGCAGCAAAAATCAATGAAAAGAGTTAATGGTTTGCAGAGGAATTACCAGTTAACATTCCCTGCCAGTTCATTACTCCTCAGCCAACTTTTTAATTAAAAATAGAGGAGTAAACTAACAATTTTATGCTGAAGGATGAGGAGCTAAAGATGATCATGGTGCAGCACCATATTACTCAGTGCTGTGCACTAACCACATGCATCAACTGGATGAAAAATCTGAGGCTCTGCAGCAAGGCCTGAAGAAATGCAGTATTTTTATTAAGTAGTTAAAGCCTCCAAGTCACATATTAGCTAAATTACTGAAGTAATTTTCTCTCCTAATGAATGCTCTTAGGGTTCTCAGCCATTAATGGGAAGAGGAACCTCCTGTTGGCTGTCTCCAAAGACAGTGTGTGAAGGAGGAGCATGAAATTCATTCCCATGTGATCACAGCCAGCAGGGATGGTGCAATGCTCCTCTGATGATCCTTTCTGCCCCTTCTTTTTCCACCCATTCTCCCCAAAATGATGCTGCTCTTCTAACCTGATGTCACCTCCAACAGCAGAATTCCCTGGATGGGCCATTTCCAGCTGCTCCTGCCAGGTAAGATGTTCACAGGATAGAGCTGCAAACCTTGGCCATCCTTCCTGCTCTTACTGAGGCATTTCCATAAGGAGTGAAAAGAGGATTTATCATCCAAATGCTTGTTTGTTACATGATATATGTGCATAATGTGCCTTCTGCTGAAGCTGTGTGCTTGTTTTCATTCTCTTTGGGAAGTGCAAATCAAGATCTTCACAGACATCACCAGAACTCTCAGCTCCCTCTCACCTTCTCAAGCAGCTCCTTCATCCTCTGACTTTAAAGCCATGGAAGAGCAGCCTTCACCCAGATATTCTGATGCTAAGCAGGAGCTTGATTCCCTTCTCTGGAGGCAGTGACACAGGTAACAAGCTTAACACAAAAATCTTCCCCTTCCTAAGGAGTTTTACATGACTTAATGCTCATATCACTTCCCTTGGCTCTACTGGATGATCTGAAATTACATCATTCCATTTTGTCCCTTCCCCTTCCAGCACCGTGGAAACATTCATCCTCTGGAAATGTTCTTTGTCACTTTACAAGGCTCATAAAAAAGCCAAACATGAGACCTGCTTAACACAAAAATCTTCCCCTTCCTAAGGAGTTTTACATGACTTAATGCTCATATCACTTCCCTTGGCTCTACTGGATGATCTGAAATTACATCATTCCATTTTGTCCCTTCCCCTTCCAGCACCGTGGAAACATTCATCCTCTGGAAATGTTCTTTGTCACTTTACAAGGCTCATAAAAAAGCCAAACATGAGACCTGTGTTATTGGCATTTT